TGTGAATCTGAGAACAACAGCAATTAAGAGGTGGTTCCACGCTCTTCAAAATCTTCCGATCAGACGCATTGCTGTCGGATGTAGTTTATCGTCATACCCAGGACAAAAAGATGTAAAAGAAATGTAGAGAAACCGTGAAAAAGAAGCACTGAAAGAATTTTTTTTAGAAAAGTGTAAAAACAAGAAGAAAGAACAGTATGAGAAAAAATATGCAAGAGTCGAGTAACAAATTGTTATCTTTGCATCAATAAATTGACATGTTTTTCTCTTTTAAGAAATAAGCTGAAATGACAAGTTAGTTTTCTTTTACTATTGTTCACCTAGTATAAGGCCTAAGTACCACTTAAGCCAAAGGGTTGCTGAATGTGGATATTGTAAAGGAATATAGAGAGGGAGCAAGTGTTGCATATTATGAGGATATGTAGGATAGATAGGTGCTGGCATTCGAATTCAAGAGATTAATATTTTAATAAACATGTAATTATCCCCTCTGGAGTCTATTTCACATTGCAACATTTAAGAAGCTATAGAACTTCCACCTCACCAGTGGAATATGAAGAGAATAAGGACTCAGTGCGCGTGACATGACGTGTTTTAGCAGCGAAGGTCTGAACAGGTAGAGCGATAGACCAGCGAGCCACTGGCAACGGATCAACTATAATAAAGAAGTTAAAGAATTGAGAACATTTAATCACCTACAAGACTTTAGTATTGAGGTTGGAAAGTTAGGAATGGGAAGTTGAATACTCTTTTCTTTTTGTTTGATCTGGTCTTTGTAAAGTATATCACAGACACTTTTAAAGAAGTATTTATTTTCATGAAAAGTATTAGGATAACTAATTTTAATTTATGTAAGAATATCTCGGTGATGACTTCTTATTTACATTATTTAGAGCTTGACTAATATCCTTATCTTTCTTCTTATCGCAACGTTTCGCTCGTTGTACTTACAGGACTCTTCAAGAAATCTCGAACTGAATATTTTATTTAACTTACGGAGATAGATATTTTTCTCGTTCCGATACCTATTTCTAGGGAGTTCTCGTCTTGTTCTCATTTTAGTCCTCAGTTATTTGGTAGCCGTGTTTTCACCGACTCTGATTGATTGAACTCATCATTACTATGACACCAAATTCTCGAAAGCACACTTTAGTATTCTAGGCTAGTAAGTCAGTAGTAATAAAAAATATCAAGAAGATATATCCATAGATATGGACAACGGAATGAGAAACATTACTCTCATAAGAGTAAAAGTAAGTAAAATGTTCCGTTAAAAATTCTTTGAAGGCCACCCGAATCTTGACAGATGCCTGACAAGTACTAGTATACAACGGTCGAAACGTTTTGATAATAACGACATAGATAAGGATATTATTATGATTATAAATAATCTCTATTTTAATTCTGCTTGTGCCTCTTTTCATTAGTTAGTGCTTTATTTAGTTTGCACGACCGTTACACTCTGCCAATACTTAAAAAATAATTAACTATTCCGTTTAGGCGCGTGCAAACACGGAACTGATATATTAGAAACGCTACTTGGTTTCAGTGAGATAATTAAAGATAAATGGGAAGATAGAAGTTTTTAACGTCTGTTTCTTTGAAATGGGAAAAGTTGACAATTTCAAATTCTTTCATTTGTACGTCCATATGTATTAATAAAAATTATGTATTTGTACATCCTACATGTATTAATAAAAATGTTTGGAACATATTTTCGGCTAGTGTAAATAAATGAGTTTAATGATTTAATTCGAATAACGATCTGCCCGTCTTTTGACAACATGTTAATTTTGTTTAAGATTATTTAATACGTATTTTGCGACTCATAGCAAAATATGATTGAAAAAAAAAGGAAGAAAACATATCTTACTGCATAACTGCAGCGGTCGTTTTTAGAACATAATAAAATCAAACCTGCATAAAAAGAAGTGTAAAAATGAAATAAAATATACATACACTTACTTTATATAACATAGATATGATTTTTTTATATAATTTATATATTCCATAGAAAAATAATTTTTAATATAAAGATTTATTTCAGTAAACTGTGCTTATTAGCAAAAAGTAAACTTCCAAAATAAAAGTTAATAAATAACAAAGAAAACTGAAAACAATTTGAATTTCAAGCCTCTTATTCCGATTTATATATGTTAATCAATAATTGTATTATCAATAAAAGCTATTGATATTCAATTAGATCTTTGATAGAGGTGTGTTTCCAAAGAACTTTAATCATTGAAATCAATTGTTCATTATAAGGGATTGTCAAAGAATGTCCGGTCATTAAAGCAATTAGGGCGGACCCATGTAATACAGTATATATTTAGTATTAGCGGAAATTAGGCGTAAGTTTAACATTTTTTCTCATATAAGAGTAAATCAAATAGCGTTGTAATCGAAATCATAGCTCAGTCACCTGGAAGTGTACCTCAAAAACAGTATATTGATAACTTTAATCTTAATTTTATTTTAATACATATGTGTAATAATTAAATTGCATCAATGTCGAAATTTAATCATGGCTTTTGATCAATAGTAGGTAAATTTTATGACACTAAGATCTATCTTCATTGATATATTTCTTAAAGAGTATTGTAGACTTGTTAGGGAAAGTGTGTCTGGAGAGAAAGAAATTACATCAGTGTTCCCCAACATTTTTTTCAGCCAGTGCCCCCTTTGATCACAAACGTTCTTGTTAATGCCCACCCTCGTCAAATTAAATTTCGTATATATTGAATTCATCTTCCATAGCAAGATAACACTTAAGTATTAGTGCAAAAATAATTTTAATATTATTTTCATTTCTCTTATAAATACCATTGATTAAAATGCTAAAAAACAACTTTCATTTGATCGCTTATATTAATGTTTACAACGCGATGTTTGACTTTGGTGCTTACTGGCTTTAGCTCTTGCTATAGGTTCCATGCAGCTTAGAAGTAATCGTATATATCTTCGTGTTGTAATTTCTTTTTTTAGTAAGAAGCTATGTAACTGCGTTGAAACCACATTCAGCCACACAGGAAGTTGGAAAAGCAATGAAGAAAAAGTTCGACAGCTTCTCACAGCTTGAAATACCTTTCAGAAATGTCCTTTTATAGCCAATATTGAATCATGTTTGAAAATTTGAAAAAGAAAATGGATAAATGCCCATCACCTCACCTGAGTATGTTCACCGCCCTGAAATGAAAACTCCGCGTTCCCCCGTTCAGCATAAGAGAGCCAAGGAGATGATAGCGCCCGTTTTGAGAGACATTGACTTATATTATAAAGCAGATTGCATCGCATTTTTTTTTAAGTCGGGTGTGCGTTTCCTGCTTTGGCATGCAGTTTTTAGTATTTAATTCTGCTCGGTCTTGAACCATGACTGCTACCACTTGTAAGTTTGCTACGTTCGTGCCAGTATGACATTTAATAGTAAAGGTATACTCAGGCACTAAGGCGCGTTCATACAATGGATTTCTTTCGCCACACCAATCCTCTTCATCAATTGTTATTGAGTAGGTATTACATTTTTGTGAAAGATATTTTCCAGACACAAATTCTGCCATGTATAAAATTGTGAATGAAGCAAAACGAAGCGAAAATCATGACAGGTGTAGTTGTTTTGCAATTAAAGAAAAAAAAATCAAATCTCAGATTGATGACGAACATAATACATTAATATCACAGACGGAGAAGCTTAAATTCAATAATATAGTGGATGAAATTTTATCAGGTCTATACTTACGTATGTGACTTAACTGGTAAGGCTTCGGGATACAACTTATATCAATTCATAATACACATTCCAAACAATCACATAATCTTTTCTACAGAGTTAAAGGAAAGAGACTTAATTAATTTTCAGAATAAATATAAATTTCGCAATCTTTTATGATACAACATAGGCTTAAACCAAAAATAAATGGGAAAAACATGAATCACCTTTTGAATATTTCATTAGAGACAAAGAAAACAGTGCTGAACTCTTAAGTTGAAGGTGAGATCTTTTAATAGGAGATATCAGAATAAAACAGGTGCATAAAATGAAATATCTGGGATTTAATGAAGAAGGAGTCTCCCTCTATATTATCCTCCGGCGCTTGGATTAAAACGCCTCATTTGTAATTCTCAAAAAAGAAAGAGATTTGTGAAATGTGGTTTTTGTTAATTTATATTATTTCTGTGTATAAAGAGGTAACATATTTTCTGTCTTTAGCAAGATCTTTATTTCTCTCTCTCTGTATGTGCAGATAATAAACAACATGGAGATGCTATTCAACTCAGCGTTACACCGCTTATACTAAGGTATATACAAGCTGTAATGGTCGCCTTTAAGTGGTGTAATGGTTAAGACGCTTGTCACGCTAGATCAGTTGCAACTAAGTAGTGAGTTCGGTCTTCAATAGGTGTCCCTTAATCTCGACCTTGTGTCACAACTAAGCTATATAAATGCTGGAACTGAGAGACAAATCTGTGTGTGAGAAGAATTTTGTTGGAATTTAGGGAAGAAGCGCTAAAGATCTTTATCAGATGTTGTGGGCTGATAGTTGACGTTTTTCCTGCAGAAGTCATTTAGTTGACTGGGATAGAATTTCAAGTCACAGTTTTTTTTTCTCTATTTGCTCGTATGTCACAATTGTGTTACTAATATTTTTACTATGATGTGTGATATTTTATATGAGGCCAGTCCAAAGAAATCTGAGTTCAGTAAACTTTCAGTGTATTTTCACTTTTAATTAGTCATTTTCTAGGTAGAAATTATGGTCAGATGTGTTACGGTGAGCTACTAGTCTGTTCATAATTTTTGTTATGCAACAGAATAATGCGATTTCCGTATAGTCCTTTTTTAGATTACTGGAAGTTTCGCCGATGTATGGCATTGAACAGTTTATGCATGTTAGTTGAGTTTTATTCCGTTTTATAGTTTGTATTTTAACTACATGTTTCAAGCTGACTATATTTTGTAATGTCTAAAGTAAGCCTTTTCACTTTTGTCTATTCATCTCCAGTTTTTTTCGGATATTATTCTATATTCTCACTAACGCCTATCTATCTATCTATCTATCTATCTATCTATCTATCTATCTATCTATCTATCTATCTATCTATGTTCATAATTCTAATTGAATATTTCTATCTATCTATCTATCTATCTATCTATCTATCTATCTATCTATCTATGTTAATAACTCTATCTATTTGAATCTGTTACTATCTATTTATCTATTTGAGGCATTGCTGAAAAGTTCCTTGAACTACTAAAATCAGACCAAATGGCCAAACATCAGAATAAAGCAGGAAAATCCCTTTTTGGTCAGGTCGAGAATATTTAATCATCTCTCAGAGACAGATATTAGAATCTCTGTATAATATTAGGTTGGTGAAAAAATAATGACGTAATAATGTCGTTTTTTGACGTATTTTTAATGTCAAAAAACGACATTATTACGTCATTATTTTTGCACCAACCTAATATTTCTACTTATTTACCCAAACGACAGAAAATTGGCAAGTTTCTCAGTCAAGAACGTCTACAAGTAAATTAATCGATATTTCAAAATAGTTTTCATGACTATCCACCTCTTTATTGCAGAAAGCTAAGGAGAAATGATCCCTTTGTAAAAAAGAGAAGCGATGGAGATTATGACTTGACGACGCTTAACAACATCAATAATTAAAATTGACGGCACATGAACCTAGAATGGAAAATAAGGACACAATGATGTTGACTTTTCACACTACTTGAAACAAAAGGTTAGGAAGGAAAACATTATCAACAGTAGAAAGAGCAACAACAGTTACTGAACTTGAAATACCTATTTTCTTTAAAAACTGTTTTCAGAGAAAGATTTTATCGATTTCAGTCGACAGTAGCAATAAAGGTCAATAAATGTCGAATATTTCCTTATAAAGAAATCTCTAACCTCACCATTTACTATTCTCATCAGCTAAACTGATTCCCTATTTTTGTACGAGTCATGATCACAAATTATATAACGAAGAATAACTATTAATGCGTACAGTGTTTATGTAATAATGTAGTTTTTAGGATCTGGAATGTTGAAAATTTCATTTTGCACTTTTTGCATCGAGATCTATTTCTACGATGGAAGGTTTAAAAGAGAAACTAAAATCAATTTAAACTTCGTCACAGCTTTCATAAAATTAAGACAGATATTTAGAAATAAAAGCTCTATAAATGTGCGCTCCTAACATAACGTGTTGAAAAGAAGAGATAATCTTCTTTCCCAACCAGATTATAAATATAATGTCATTTAACCCTAAGACTGAACTTACAGTAATGGACACATAAATACTTATAAGTAATTTAGGCGTTTTTCCAAACTATGCATGTGAGAAGTAAATCGATTCAATTTGACAAATATATTCATTTCCCGTTCAAAGTGCGCTGTGTATTGGATGAGGGAACAAATTCCTGAGGAGAAATTGTCGTCACAGTTGCGGCAACGGATTGCATTTAAGTTAAGCCAAAGTCGACTTCTAAGAGTACGCCATGGATTTCCCCAAACAAATCTCCTCTCTCCGTAAGGAGACGCCTGAGTTTAATGGACGCTTGGAGCAAATCGGCTTTTAGTCTTTCGATACTTAAACTTGTAATGTTGACTAATTTATTCTTCCTCTTCTGTAGTTTCGATTTTATTTCTGTTCCTTTTTCCCTTTATCTTTCTTTTTTTGTTTTGATTTAAAATTTGTCATGGTAGCAGAAAAGAGACATCACTCAATCGATTAAGCAGTTTCATAAAATATAACGAAAAGAGTAGATATATTTTTTTTTCGATTTAGGGTAATGATTAGCTAGTTCGTCTGGATGACCATTATTTATTCCTCAGTGAGTACAACATACTTTACACTTTGTGCCTGAATAACAGTACTTAACAATAGGGCGGATCATGTAGTGTAATGCATATAACAATCCTTATTCTTGAGTTCGATCCTCTCTGGGTTTTTATTACTTGTGATTTTGTGCAAAACTAAGATACGATTAATATATAACAAAAATTTGTTAAATTTGCTATTTACTAGAAATACCTGGGAAAATTTCACAGTTTTTCAAATTGAATGTTCTGATGAATCTTAATTCTTACGTTAATGCTTAAGTAAGATAATGGTGAGTTCCACGACAATAAATATCCGTAAGAATTCCACTGTTGCATCGTTAAATATTTGAGCTTAATAACTTAAGTAAAAAAAATATCAAAATAACACAAAATATCGCAATAATAAACATAAACGTGAATGCTTGTTGTTACTTATAGAAGTAAGGGAGTACAAATGAAAATATTCAAAATTACCAACTTTTTCTGTTTCACTGAAAGAGACGTTAAACATTTCTTTCTTTCCTTTTTCACTGAAGCCAAGTAGCGTCACTGATATGTCATTTTCGTCTTTCCACGCGATCAAAACGAAATAATCCATTATTTATGCGGTATTAGGAGGAGATGTTAAACACAGTAACCCATTATTTTAGAAGTACTATAGAGTAATAGACAGCCGAGTTCGAATTCCAATTGAGTTCATTATATTCACTTACCTGTTGATTACATTGGGAAAGGTATGAATTCATCTCCCCCAAGCTATCAGTAAATAGCAGAACAGACTGGGTTCTATAGCCTTGGGTGGCAACAGATGTAAGAGAAGGAAAACTGTATATAGCCCTGGTATAGCACATACGATGCCGCTAAGGAAAAAATCGTTCGCATTGGCACGATGATCCCGACTATAACCGACCCCTATGAGCTATTGGCAGAGCGTAACGGTCGTGATCAATAGAGGAGGGACAAGCAGAATAATAAGATTTCAAACCAAGAAAAATGTTTCATCAGATATATAAAATATTAAATATCATGTAAGTTCTTCTTTTGAAAATTAGTAGATTAGTTTCTTTTTCTACTATGTGCAGTGTTCCTTCAAGGCGTTGGTGATCATGACTCTCCACAATGTCTTTTCCTTTGTCTTTTTGTTATCTCACCTAAACATTGCACCGCCATCCATTTACTCAAGCTCACTAGGTAGGTTATGTATTGTTTCCTTCTGCTTCTCTTTCCTTCAATCTGTCCTGTGAGTTTCACATTTTTCAAGCCCTCTTTCTTCATGTTGTGCTCAAAGATTTCAACTGTCTCTTCCTGATGTTACTTACAAGTGTCCATTTTGCTTCCATTTTCTCTAAAACTTGTTCACTTCATGGTATTCTCAGTATCTTTCTGTTGATTAAAGTCTCTTTTTCACCTAAGACCTGATTGTTCAGGATTCACTGCCATATAGGAGATCTGATCTACCTCAGAAAATAATTGATTTTTTCAGAACGGATGAAATGTAATTTAAGTCCCAACTGGAAAAAAATTGAAAAGGATTAACGTATATTTAGAGAAATATGCGACATTTTTTAGGAACAGTTTACGACGTTATCGATAATAACATTACCGAGAGTTGTGAATGTTCTTGGAATTGATAATGGAGTGGTTACTCGTTGCCTTCTCCACGGGGATTTTATTGAACCACCACTTATTTACCCGTTTCTTCCGACCCTTTACATGCGTGCTAATTTAGTTGCTAACCACCTGACAATCGAATCCATATATATATATATATATATATATATATATATATATATATATATATGTGTGTGTGTGTGTGTTTGTATGTATATATATATACATAGATATGTGTGTGTAAACATGTATATATGCATACAAATTGAAGTTAATTAAAGTTCAAAGCAATATATATTTTTAATTTCAATGTGAATTCTTACATCGATTTTCTTGAGTTAATAGTGAGGAAATATATCTTCACTATTCAGATTCGAAGAGTCATAAAACGCATAGCTCATATCAGAAAATTGAATTTTAAAAATGATATTCTCTATTCTCTTTTCCCTACCCTCTCGTGTTTGGTGGATACGTTAAGGTTTGGGAGGATGACGTCCATAAAATTCCAATTAATAATAAAAAAATCCCGGTACGAAATCGCTTCCAAAAACAACAAAAAAAAAAAAATTTTGAAAAATATTTTCATCTGCGATAAAAAAGCAATTAAAAGTTAAGATTAAAGTAAATACGACTCAAATAGGAATAATAATACTTAACAATGTCTAATAAACATAAAAATACTACTACTGCTGCTACTACTAACAGTGTAAAAATACCGTGCTGATAACTATCTCGGTAATGGGCTTATGGGTTAAATTATCCCATATCTTCCTGGTTTTAGTCTACATCTACGCCTTCTTTCTTTTTCATATATCAACTATACTGAAAACTATAATTTTTGAAAGTGAAATCCCCAGGTATTCAACTAAAATCAAGAAAATATTATCTTTAAGTAAAAAAGTCGAAGTATATGAGAAAAAAGTTACTTTAAACACATCTCAAGAATATATTAGTTAAAAGCTGTCAAGATCCTGTAACTTAACAGAAGTCATATATGTTCGCATATCAATAACAGCTTATATTCTGTTTCCGATAATGGGTTTCTTACACTTTAGGCAAGTTTTTCATTGGTTTTCTCCGACCCTCTTGTCCTCAATATATCATGTGAGTTAAATTCTCCAAGCTCTGTTTTCTCATTATGTATTACAATTGGAATATGGAAGGATTAATACGTGGACACTGCATGGCGGATCTTAGTTGTAGAGGTCAGAAACATTTGCAATAAAAATATCAACTTCTATAAAAGGACGAGAGCCTAGTATTATTGGTAATAATTTTTTCAAAAATGTATTGTCGTTGGTATTTTTTTTGATAAAAACCTATAGTTTTTCATCGTGTTTTGTCTGTAACATGTGTCACCGACGCGGATCAGGATGCACCTGGGAACAACAAAGAGGTGGTTTCGTTAATAGTTTTACCATGTTGGAGTACAATTGATATATCTTTCTATGTGTGAGGGTCTTGGGATCTACTTTTGCGTTTCCAAATTTCTGTTTCCATAAACCTCATTTTTTGAAGATGGATTTTATGATTCCATACTTTCATAAAATACAGGAACTTACTATTTTAAAAGGTTCTCCATCAATGTCGTGTGATATTTTATTTTTCCTTAGTTTATTTAATAGCTTTCTTAATTTCCACATCAGTAGCTTCATTATTGTTTATGTTTCGAGAAAGAATTTGTAATGATTAGATGAATATCTATGTTTTATTTTTGCGGGCATCTTATGTCTAGTCAGGTTATGGTCGAAAT